TTTCCCCTTCTTCTTTTTGCATTTTTTATGATATACAGGTTCTTCAATGTTGGGATCATTGGTTAAGTTCAATTGATTGTATGTTTGAAAAAGCTCTTCTTATTAATATAACAAATTCTCTTGAACAATTATCCTATATAATCAATGGTGACATTCAAACAAAACCAACACCATTTCTTAATATTGAACTTTGTTTAAACACAGTCGAAACAACATCTGGAAATATTAAATATGTGGTAAGTTCTTCATCGTATTAAACTATCGATAATTAAAACCATTTAGTTGGATTTTCGACCATCACTTGAACAATTATCTGAAACTTTAAATTCAGTAAGCAAAATTCAATTAATTGAATCAATTAAAAATTTCGTACGTCTATGTGATCTTTTTTCTTATCATCCATTTCAAAGAGAAGTAATTCAATTATAAATCTAGTTCTATTAATTAATGATATATCTTTGATATTCTAGCCTTATTATATTGTGATTGAGAATTATTCATTAAAACAAAAATTAGAAAATAAAATTGCTTTAGGTATAACTAATTGTATATCAGAAATTGAAAAATATATTGAAAATAATTGGTTTCATTTTCGTCAATTATGGGAAGTTGATAAAGAAAGTTTTATAGCTGTGTATGAATCTGAAAACACTGATTTACAAGGTTTAGAAGCTGATATAGCTCGGTAAATCATTTTTTTGTCAAGTTTACGAACATAAAAGCGATCTTATATTTTCTTTGAAATATTAGTTATACAGAATTAGCTAATAATATAAATAATCAAGAATCAATTGTTAATATACATATGATACAAATCGATTGTATATCATTTAAAGTATCATTAGTACAAATTTGTCATGAATGGCAACAAAGTTTAATACATATTGTATTAGTTCGGTTAGAAAAAGATCTTCAAATGATATCAACATTAATTAAAAATAATACAGAAAAGTAAGTTGAATCAATCATAACTATGTTTGTCATAATATTGCATTTTTACCGATTATGAAATATCGGATTTGTCAAATATCATTGGTGGTTAGAAGATTGAGCCGGTTAGATTAGTTTTGATGAACTCGGTCAGGTCCAAGACCGATTCAGTGGATCATCCAGCGACTATATAACTTAGGTCAAAAAATTCATTTGAAATTAGAAGTATATACATATATATATTCTTGACGTTTGATTAGAGTGAATATTCTTCCAAAAATTTATGATGAAATTCCAATCTATCAAGAATTTATCGATGAACTTAAATCCGATGTATTAAGAATTGAAGCAAAATTTCCTTTAATTAATGAAGAAGTTGCTTTATTACTTCGATATGAAATTGAAATTGATTCTAAAGTTAGTTGTTTTCTTGGTTTTTTTATTGACCGAATTCAAACTTTTATGTTTGTTTTTGAAAGCTTTTAGAACAATATCGTTTATTACCGCGTGTTTGGAATAATTATAAAACATTTCTTGATGAATCAATAGCTTCATTTAAACGTGTTAAAGTAATTTAAACTTACATATTATTGTATTGTTGTTGTTTTGTTTTGACTTTCAGGAAGCTTTTAAAATTCAATTACAAAAAGAACAAGAGAAAAATCTTAATGAAATATTTGAATTACAAAAATATTTTAAAATTACTGGTCCACATCAAGCTGATATATCTGTGTCAACTGCTTTGAATAAATGTGAACAAATCGAAGAACAGATTGTACAGATGGAAAATGATGAAAAACGTTTAAAAATTGCTTATCGTATATTTAATTTAGATATGACTGTTTCGAAAAATTTACAAAATCTAAAGAAGGTTCTTATTTTTATTTTTTTTTTTTATTAATATAAAAAAGATAATAATCTGTATACATTGGAAAAACGATTTAGGATATTGAAATACTTAAATCAATTTGGTTGTTAGCTAAAGAATACGAAGACATGCTAAATAAATGGAAAACAACGGAATTTTATCAATTAAATATTCATGAATTAAACGATTTTGCTCAAAATCAATATAAAAAATTGCTGAAAATGTCAAGAGAATATAAAGTAACGTTGAGTGAATTGCAGATTTTTGATACGATTGGAATTTCAACTATATTATAACAATTTGTTATATGTTAGTAGTCTCTGAGCGTTTCACATACACAGAGAATTTCAGCTCTCTAACTTATATCACCATTGACTTATGATGTTCATGGTGTGAAAAAATCATATTTTATATGAGCTTAATATGTTAATACATCTTTCCCATGCCTATTCGTTCGAAATACTATATGACAGATACTTCTTTGTTTTCGAAGAGAACCATATTATTTGTCAGTTTTATTCGTCTAGTGTCAAGTTGAGGGAAAATGAAGTTGTTGGAAAGAAGATGGTTTCATTGGCAAATGAAACTAATGAAAAAGTTATTTCTGATTGACTCTTCCATTTGGTGAAAAAGACGATCTTTTTTTTAAATGCCGTCGCATATAGCTTTAGAACAGCTGATTCGTTTTCGCTAATTTTTTTTTATCTAAATTTAGATCTTAGAGTTGCATTATTAGTAAAAAAATTAGTCATCTAGTACTTATGCTTCTCGAGAAATTCACATTATACAACAGAATGTAGGACGACATTTTTTATCTAGTATTCCAAATAATGAGTTGTTTTTAAATTTGGACTCTTCGTATGCAGTGCAGTTCAGAAAGATATGAAAAATCTTGAAAGGACAAGTCATATTAGGTCTTCTATTCGGAGTTGTAAGCATTTTACAGAAATTAGTATTGCTGACACGATAAATAACAACAAAGCGAATAATGACATTTCAACCTAAGATGTTGAACATAGACAGATCTATTTGTGAGTAATGTATCTTGAAAATTTCAGCTGAAAAGAATGGTTCCTTTGCGAGACATGAAAATCCCAAAGAAACAAGTGAAATTTTTAGTACATTCAACTGACAAAGAGATCTATGTGTAGACAAAAGTCTTAGGTCGAAATACTATTATTCGACTTATTACTATATACATCATGTCAGAGGCTAAAAGTTCCTCAAAATACCGATAACTGTGGATAGAAGGTCTCAGAGAATTAATCTTTTTGAGGTGTTTCATACATCACTGAACTCTATTTTATACACTAAGTCCAAATTCAAAAGTGATTGATCAGTTAAAAACGTTTCCTCGCAAGACTAAGTCAAAATGGATAGTCTTTTACATCATTGAATCAGTTTCATTGTGGATAGTTAGCCTACTTTTATTCCAAGCATAGGTTCTGAATTCAAAAGTATTTTTGTCCAATAGACTTAGCATGACTGGCTATAGCCTATAGAAAGATATTTTTTGTGTGATATTTTAACTAATAGTGAACTGAGATGAATTACGTTTTATCTCACTGTTGACGAAAATGTAGGAAACATTTAGTGTACAACATAGACATAGAATATAGTAAAATCTATTACTCAGACATTATTTAGATCTACTTTCAACTTTTATTGCATCAATCGTATCGAAAAGTTGCAATTTAATCTCATGAATGTTATTTAAAAAATGAGAAAGAATTTATTTAGGAAAAAGATTGGAATATTCTTGATTCACTTCGTGATCGCATTGATACATTTCGTCGTATATTACCTTTAATTGAATCATTACATAATCCACATATGCGTTCTCGACATTGGGAACAAATAAAATATGAAACAGAAAAAAATTTTGAATACAAATCAAATAAATTTACACTTGAACAAATTCTTGATTTACATTTGTAATTATTGATTAAAAGACACTATTAGATATATAGTGTTATCTTTTGTTTATTTAGTGAAGAGAATATTCAATTGATTACTGAAATATCAGAAAATGCATCAAAAGAATATTCAATTGAACGACTATTAGAAAGAATTGTTCAAATATGGAATGATATGAGATTTGACACGACAATGCATAAATCGAATGTTTTTAAAATAAAGTATGATGATTTAATTTTAAATTCAAATAAAATCATAAATAAATCCAATAAATTTATCTTTTGAAAAAGTTGATAGAGATAGTTATGTGGGATCATATAATAATACTTTGGTTATGTTTACCGAGAGAACCTCTCAAAGTGATAAAATTTTGTTAAATTCTGACGTCTGCTGTTAGGATGAGTCCACTCAGAGTAAACAAAATCTATGATGGTCTATTTTCTAATTATTTTCTTCTCAAGTTATGACTATTTTGTTCACGTTCTGGCTTAGTACACAGGGCATATCCTGAAAAATGCAATACTTTCATTTCATCCTGAATCTTTTTCAAGTAAGAGGTCTTATGATTTCTATTATATACCGAAAGTTTCACCTAGAACGAATATTTGGTTCCCAGGATAACAGATTTAAAAGGAAATTCCATGTTATCAAATCTGTTGTAAAATATGCGCTTTGGTTGAGGGTCTAACATGGTAAAAATGACACATTCGTTCGAGATAAAACTTTCGATGCATGATAGGAATCATGAGATCTCTTCAGAGTCAACAGTTCATAATTTCAATAGCTTTTTATTACCTCAAGAGGTTCTCTCCTAAGATGATTTCTATCAGCTGATCAGAATGAGAGTTGATGTCAATGATTTTGTTCATTTTCTTAGTAATATTATATATTTAATGAGAAACTACAGTTTTCCAATAGCATTCGTATAACGACCACATGTTATCGAAATTGATTGTCTGAAAATCTTGTATTAATGACTTTCTCTTTGTTCTGTTACGAACTGTGACAAATACTTGAGTATTGCCTCTTCTTTCTCATTGTTCATAACAAGCATACTCACAAGATCGCAGTTTATTACAGACTCAGTATGAAACATCGCTGAATTTAATGTAACTATCCTTTATTCTTCTTTTCATACGGACTGTAATATATAAAGATAACCATCTTTCATAACCGACATGCATTAATAGTGGATACGAGTTCTCAAACCGAAACTTATATTGATAAATTACTTCTTTTATACTGTTAACAACTTCATGATACTTCATATTTTAATTTCGAAAGAATGGTTCTAACAGTTCTTCTTGCTTTTTGTCCTATGCATAGAGCTCCTGATGAAGTAATTCAATATGTCGAAGAACATACAGCTCAAATTTCAACAATAAAAGGCACACGTCATATAAAACCATTTCAAAATGAAGTTGATTATTGGGAAAAATCAATAGCACAAATATCAGAATTATGTGATGGTTTATTTAATGTTCAACGCCAATGGTTATATATGGAAGGTATATTTACTTCTGATGATGTTCAAAGACAATTATCACGTGAAACAACTGAATTTAAATATATTAATATGATTTGGCAAGATGAAATTATAGCTAAAATTCGTGAAAATTCAAATGCATTATATGTTGCAACAAAACTAAGTTTGTAACAAAACAAAAAAAAAACCTATATAAATTTTTTTCTCACTTAGATTTATTTGATAAAATACAAAGTTTATTAAAATATTTAGAAAATATTCAAAAAAAAATGGAAGATTATCTGGAAACAAAACGTGCAATATTTCCACGTTTTTATTTTATATCAAATGAAGAATTAGTTGAAATTCTTAGTCTTTCACGTCAACCCGATCTTATTCAAATACATTTAAAAAAACTTTTCGATAATATTAAATATCTACGTTTAGTAATTAAAAAAACAATTCTAGCTAATGGAATTCAATCAAATGAAGATGAACAAATTAATTTAATATCAACATTATCTTTAGAAGGTAATGTTGAAAATTGGCTTAAAGATTTAGAAATAAAAATGCAAATTACTGTACGTGAATATTTAAAAAATTCTTTATCAGCACTTAAATTACAATTAAAAAAACGTGATAAATGGATTAAAGATTGGCCTAGTCAATGTTGTGTAACTGCCAGTGAAATTGAATGGACATCAGCAACAACAAAAGCTTTATTAACATGTCAAGCTGATGGAAGTTTGAAACCATTAAAAAAATTATTTCGTACTCAAGTAAGCATTGTTAAGTTTTATATATAAATCTATTGACTTTTTGATGAAACAAATAAAACTACATTGAAATTCTCGCAATGATTGTAAGACTCATCCAAACATCAACATTGAATATGAAGATAGTATTATAAAAATTATTTTCTCACCGACAGTTTGGCTTGTTATGCTGGCTAAAAATAATCATTCCCATCACTTATTCTTTTATTTCATAAATTAAACCAAAATTGATTCATGTGAAAAAGAATGAGATAAGAACATTTTATTAAACAAAAGGAGAATTTTTTAATCTAATCTGAAGAATTTCGATAGACTAGGTAACTTATGTAGTGATATGCTTAAACCAATCGAAAATGTCGATAATTTATTGGTAAATTATTATTATTCAAATTTTATGTCGTTATTCGTTTATTCTGCTTAGTATATTTACCCGCTCTTCAGTAGAGAATGTTTTGAGTCAACGGAAAGATTAAAGAGGAAATATATTGAACTATCGAGCGTTGTTTGAATTCATATCATGACAACGAATATATCGCTTTGAGACTAAGAAAATAATAAAACGATTCGAGCTCACGACCTAATGACGAAGAGTTATGGGTATTTTAATTAAATTTTTATTGACAATAAGGTATTTGCGAAAAATCCACAATAAATTGTTTCAATCTGAACCTTGATCTATTGGTAGATTTAATATTTATTAGAAAGGACTATCTAATAATTACTAATTTTGCTTATAGATAATGTTTCAGGTTGACATTCTTTGTTTTAGTTTTTTTTGTTTGAGAATATCTTGGTCTCCATAAAAACTTCATGAAATCAGCCATAACTCTTCATCAGTAGGTCATGAATTCGAATACTTTTAAACTTTTCTTAGTCTCAGCGAAATCTACACGTAGCCATAGTATGCAGTTGAGCAATGTTTGACAGTTGGATACGTTTCCTAAGTAAATGAAACTGTCCAAAAAATATTATAATGACAATTTGCGACAACGCTAGGAAATTTTTCAATGTATGCAAGATTCGATCCATGGCTGTCTATCGGGATTTGTGATCTGTAGAACAGCTTTTTTCTCATATTCAGTAGTCTAGAAGTAGAAGCAATGTTGAATATGATAATTTCGAAACATTCAAAAACTTGTCAATTTATCAATCACTTATTTTCATTGATTATAGATCAAAATTCTTGATCGATACTCGAATATGAGTCGTTTGTCACTTGATAAAATACTTCGTCTTCGTGTTATTGGTGTTATTACTAAAGAAGTACATGGACGTGATATTATCGAACGATTAATTAAAACTCAAACAATGGATATACAATCATTTGAATGGCAAATGCAATTAAGATTTTATTGGGAACGACATGAACATAATGAAGATTGTATTATTCGACAAACAATAACAAGATTTACTTATAACTATGTATTTATTCCATATTATTTTTCAAGGATTTGTCAAAAAAAAACAATGAAATTTTGTAAAATAGGAATATTTAGGTTGTACCAGTCGTTTAGTTATTTCACCATTGACTGATCGATGTTATATTACTCTTACAACTGCTCTACATTTATTTCGAGGTGGAAGTTCCAACGGACCAGCCGGTTTGTTACTATACGGTTTCTTTTAATCTCTACATATACATGTATATGTTTATTTATTGTAAGGTACTGGCAAAACTGAGACAATAAAAGATTTAGGAAAAAATTTTGCTATTTATGTTGTTGTTCAAAATTGTTCGGAATCACTAGATTATAAATCCATGGGAAAAATGTTTTCAGGTTTTGCTCAGGTTTGTCTTTAGTTTACTCTTACGAGGAAACTACCTGAATGGATAACCATCGTTCAAGCTCATCTTAGATTCACAAAAACGTGTTGATAAGACTAGAAAAGTCTTACAAGAGTTCGTAATAATGGAGTTTTGCCTATTGATAGGTCTCGTGACTTTGGCAATATCCTGAAAGTTTCAGTTGGAAAGAATGTTCCTTTGTCGAGATATAGAATTTTCAAGTAAATTTGATTTTTATGACAAACAACCATAATTTTAGAAATTCAAGACCTAAACAAAGGAACATTGTTTTCGACTGACATTTTCAAGATATACTCGAAGTAAATAAGACCTATCTATGAGCAAAATTTCAGATTGAAAATTCAGTAAAATAGTCATAACTTGGCTGAAAAGATCTATGGGTACGAATCATTTTAGCATTTTTTCAGACTTACTGAGACTTCCTTGTGATCTCAATATGAGCTTAGACTTCGGGTATCATCATTTCGGTTAGTCCACTCATTAATACAAATAGATTCGGCATAGTTTTCTTTTTTTGTAGAGTGGTACATGGGGATGTTTTGATGAGTAAGTTATGTAATTTTAATCAAATATCAATAGGTTTTCTATTTCTCGCGTGCGTTAGATTTAATCGTATTAATGTCGAGGTATTATCAGTTGTTGCTCAACAAATTCATTCAATCTTAACAGCTTTATCATTGAAACAAAAACGATTTGTATTCGAAGGCAAAGAAATTTCACTTTTACCTCAAGTTGGCATTTTCATAACAATGAATCCAGGTTTTTCTATAATGTTTTTAATTTCATTAAAAAATAAATAATCATTTTTAAGGGTATGCTGGTCGAACTGAATTACCAGATAATTTGAAATCAATGTTTCGACCAGTATCAATGATTGTACCAGATTCAATTTATATTGCAGAAAATTTTCTCTTTAGTGAAGGATTTCAAAATACAAGAGTAAGAAAAAACGAACAAACAAAAGAAATTCATATGAAATAGATTCATTGTTTAGAATTTAGCTCGTAAAGTTTATACACTTTATCAATTATCTACCCAACAACTTTCTAAACAAGATCATTACGATTTTGGTTTAAGATCATTAACAGTAAAAGAATAATGTTATTATTTTTTAATGATTAAATATAAAAACGTTTATGTTCTTCTCAAAGGCTGTTTTACGATATGCTGGTGAAAAGAAACGAATAAATCTTAAAATGACTGATAATGAAGTAAAGAGTAATATTTAATTAAGTTTTTTTTTCAGTATATAGATTTTCATAGGTTCTTCTTTTATCAATGCTTGATATGAATGCACCTAAAATGACTGCACAAGATTTACCATTATTTAAAAATATTCTTGAAGATTTATTTCCTGGTATTGATATACCAAAAATTGATTATTCAAAAGTTCGATTTACTTTATTATCTATAATTTAAAATTTTCTTTTCCCCATTTGAATAGTTAATTGAAGCTATTGAATATGAAATGAATGTACATCATTTACAAATAACACCAACCTCTATTGAAAAAGTTATTCAATTATATGAAACCCATCATTCTCGTCATTCAGTTATGCTTGTCGGTAAAACTTTATCAGGAAAAACTACAACCTGGAAATTATTTAAATATGCTTTAATTACATTAAATAAACAAGGTTTTAGTGAATATAATAAAGTCATGGTAAGATCTCGACTCTGCAACACAGATCGTGACAAACTTACGGCAGAAGTCTGTCACTCTTAAATCGATTTTACGTTTTGACTAGATGCATCGTGTAGATCCTAATGGGTGGCGATGTTTTTCAATACAGTGCTGTGATTCTCCTCAGAAACACTAGGAAAAACTAATTTTCGAATTTCGACTTAGAACTTTTGCATATAATAGAGCCTTGAAGAGAATAGTTAATCGTCCAAGTATCAAATCATTTGATGTATTCGTATTCTGTAATAAGAATAATAAGAAAATCGAATCTGCAGGTATATATAAATGGTGTAAAAGACACAGTTTTACCATGGCTGCATTCTTTAGATAGGAACAATCAAAATATTGGAAACTTTCACAATGAACTGTTCGGTCACGGCATTGTTTTGAAAAATATTGTAAAAATGCCATACTCCAGCAGTAATAAGATAGCGGCTCGAATATTTTCAGTGTATTCATAATCCATTCGAATCTATGTGATGTACATAGTTCCAACATAAAACCAATTGGGGAACTTCCCCCTGTAGCCATGGAGCTAAAGCTTTCAGTAGAATCATTATGAAAGCAGATAGAATTTTAAATACTTGTTTTTGACTCATCGCTTTTTCAAGCTCAATGTAAAATATCAAGAACATATCAGTATGTCAAAAGCTTCCGGCTATAGAATTTCTTGATCTACAGTATTATATGTAGATCAATCATGTTTCACATTGTAATCCCACGGGGATAACGCTATAAGTTCTTTTTGTTTTGAATTTAGGAATATCTAATCAATCCAAAAGCCGTCAGTTTAGGAGAACTCTATGGTCAATTTAATTTAGCAACAAATGAATGGAATGATGGAATTCTTAGTATGATTATGAGACAAGTTTGTGCAGGTTGGGTTATACTAATAGATGTAACTGTTTCACCTGGTCAATCTCTTTTTTAAACACAACTACTGAGTTATAGTTATCAACCATGATGGTTCTGAATATGAACATGAGAAATCGTTTAAGATATTTTTATGCTGGCATTCAGACACACGAATTTTGCGTCAATACTTTTTCGATCTTTTCTGATTTAAAAAAAAAGATTGTTAGTCTGAAAAATATGTTTTTCTGGAAAACTAACATATAAAGGTCTAAAAGATTTCTCATGTTCATATTTGGAATCAACATAGTCGATAACCTATTTTATAGTAAGCGATTGACTAGTAGTGAAATCTTTCCTTTGGTAGTGGATGCTTTCATGAATTATTTTAGATGAAAAACCTGATGAAAAACTCATTCTTTTCGATTCTCCTGTCGATACATCATGGATTGAATCGATGAATTCCTTAATGGATGATAATAAATTATTGACATTAGCCAATGGAGAACGTATATCAATGTCATCTCAAGTAACATTATTATTTGAAACAGAAGATCTATCAACAGCTTCACCGGCAACTGTCTCTCGAGCAGGCATTGTCTATTGTGATTATGAAAAATTAAGATGGAAACCTTATTTAGACTCATGGTTAAAACAAAAGACATCTCAGGTGAATTTGAACGTTTGAAACTCTAATTCTTATGTTTGATAAGAGAAAAACAAGTTGAAACAGATCTTTACGAAAAACTATTTGATATAGGATCTTCAAACAGAAATTTTCAATTGTGTGACAAAATATTTAGAACCTGTAATGAAATATAAACATATGCATTGTAAAGAATTGGTTCCAATTCATGAACTTAATGGAATTGTTTCATTGACCAAGTTATTTGATACATTTTGGTATTTAAATGAAATACAAACACAATTAAATGAAAATGAAACAATATCAGGACGTTTAATTGAAATGTGGTTTGTATTTTGTTTAATATGGTCTATTGCTGCTAGTGTTAACGATGAAGGAAGAAAAAAAATTGATATTTTCTTTCGTGAAACTGAAGGTAATTTTTTTTTTCTCATGAAAAAGAAAACCAAGGAATGATAAATAATTTAGGTACATTTCCAAATAAGGATACAGTATTTGAATTTTATGTTGATACAAATAATCAAACATGGATACATTGGGAAGAACAACTTAAAGAAGGATGGATTTATAATTCCGAGTAATTTTTTAACTTTTCTCTCTGTCCAATCGTGATGGAATCATTTTATTTTCCAATATCTCAACAGAATGAAGTCGAATAAAACTCAAATTTTTCAGAATATACCTAAGTCGAATAGTTCTATATATTTTGAACGTTTCCCTAGATTCAAAACGTCTTTTACAAGATTTTAATTGAAATATAAACCGTGACGAAACCATCAAAAAGGAACATCGGGTTTGAAGTCTATATAATGAACGGAAAAAAGTTAGGTGAATTGAAAGTACGCAGGAATACTTTTTATGAGATGTCGTAGTTTAGATAACGCGCTATATGTAGAGAAAAAGAAAATTTAGGAAAGGAAAAGACTTCGTGACGAAATCAGGTTTTTCTCAACTTCAAACAATGAACTATACTTCCTCACGACGGAACCATCTCAAGTAACAACCACTGTTTGAGCTAATATTGGACTCATGGGCAATTGTCGTCTAGTTATGATTGGTTTACTAGAGTTTCGATTCATTTGTAGGTAGCCCCTAAAGACACAAACAGCAGAATTTTGAACTGAGTTCACTTGAAAATTCAGTAATTCGCCGAAGAAATACTCTTTTCGGCTGGAACTCTCATGATATTGCACAATTTATTAGACCTATCTATAGGGAATTATTTTGGATCGGAAGTTCGTTATTCGATCTTTCGGAAAGTACCCAAAAAATGGATAAAAACTCCTCTAAAATGGTCGTAACTCGGCACCAAAAGTAAATGGGGACGAATTCTTTTAGGCTTTTGCCATTCTTACTGAGGCTTTCCTGTAAGTCCTGTATCAGTTCAAACAGCGGGTGTCATCTGAGGTAGTTTCCTTGTTTATTATAAAAAACAAGCATGCAAAATTATTTTGCATCATTCTTCCGATAAATTTACAATTCTAGTAAAAAATCATGAGGTTCAAAATCACATATCACTACTGAATTGCTGTCTTTAATCTTAGTAATAAACAATAACTCGAAAGGATCATATACCTACTTTACAATTAGATATTTAAGTGCTCCCTCGATGACCATTTCGTCATGCTTTTTATAATGAAACTGAGATTTTAATTAAAAAATCCAATCAGTTCTTCGGATAGAGCGTAAACAGATAATCACTTACGTAAATAGACTACATTTAAGCTGTCAATAAGCTTCTTAAAGGCAAAAAAATCTAGGTGTCTGGTCATGTTTAAAGAATCTATACCACGTCGTTTTAGAACAGCTGATCAACTTTGACAAGAAACTATAATTGTTTATATGAAAAATAAAAGCGTAAAACGAATATGTATTTTGACTGATTCTGAGTAATATGTGTTTAACAACATTTTTCGTTAAGTTATATGAAGTTACTTAAAATCTATGATTTTGCATACTATTGATACTATCGTTCATGCTAGTCATATTCATTTTCCTTAATTCTATAGTTCAATGTCCCCGATATAAAGGAACCGTTATGTGAATGAGTCTTTTTATTTTCTAATATATTTTCTTTATATTTTAATACAGAATCCCATTTTATAAAATGATTGTACCAACTGTTGATACAATACGTTATGAATATTTAATTCATAATTTATTACTTAATAAAAATCAAGTTTTACTTGTTGGTGCTATTGGTACAGGTAAAACAACAATAGCTGAAAACGTTCTGAAAAAACTTGATTCGACTTTATTTAATACACTTATTGTTCATATGTCTGCTCAAGTAAATCTACGAAATCATGTATTTCTCTGATGTCGAAAAGATTAATTTGTTTTTTCTCTTCTTTGAAATTGAATAGACAACATCAAAAATGTTACAAGATATATTTGAAACAAATATAGAAAAACGAACTAAAACAATATATGTTCCTATAAATGGAAAAAAGATGATTACATTGATTGATGATATGAATATGCCAAATAAAGTAAAATTAATTGAAGATAATGATAAAAACGAAATAGTTTTATTTAGGATACATATGGTTCTCAGCCATCGCTTGAATTAATGTAAACAATATCGAAATTTTTTTTCTTTATATTTTGAAAAATAATTTTCTTTTAACAATTAGTCGAATGTGGATCGATTATGAATTTTGGTATGATCGAAAAACACAAGGCATGAAATTTGTCAAAGTTAGTTACAAAAACATAAATTTCGATTGTACTATTCTGTTCATGAAAGGATATGTGTCTACTCACAGCAATGGGTCCACCGGGTGGTGGTCGTCACCAGATATCACAACGATTACAAAGTCGATTCAATCTCATCAATATGACATTTCCATTCGTATGAATAAACGATAAAAAAAAAATAATTTAAATCATTCTTTTTATTTCCAAATATAATCAATTAGGAACATGAAATCTGTCGAATATTTGGTACAATGCTTAGTCAAAAACTACAATCTTTTGATGATGACATAAAATATCTTGATCAAACAATAACAAAAGCAACTATTGATCTTTATCAAACAATTGAAAAGAAATATTTACCAACACCAACAAAAATTCATTATGTAAAAATAAATAAACCGCTTTGTAAAACGCAATCTAAAGGCAATTTTGAAGTATAAGGATACAATTTAGGCACACACCCTAGCAGCGGATGTACGATTTTGGAAAAAGAGAGTAAACATCGTCACTAATGTAGTAGCTACGACTGCTACACCCCAGACAGTTGCTTTCGCAATACTTGCTCTCCAACAGTACTAGCTTTCCATGAATAACCAATAGAATTGCTTTTGAGAGTATAGATGTGGATGCGGATGTGAATCATCTCTGAGCAATATCAAAAAACAACTCGAAAGTGGGACAACAATCGCAACTAAAGCATCTCTACAAATCTACCACTACCACCTCTTTCTCCAATAGACTGTAGCACACGTAATCATGAAAACGTCATAGACAGTGACAGACATCGACATATAGCCAAAGATCGTATATCAATAACGTCTCGTTATAATAAACAAACTGCTTCATTATTGTATCTTTGAAGGATAAAGTAAAAGAATAATGAAGAAATGTGTCCAAAAATAGGTGGAACAGAAGAGTCTTCCTATGACTAACAACAACAACTACATCGTGTTTTTCATTTCAATGTTGTTGATATTACGCTAGCAACTTGATTTGGCTTGATTATCGATTTTAGAAAATTTTTGTTTTTAGACATTTAATATGCGTGATATATCACGTATGTTTGAAGGTCTTTTATTATGTCATAAAACAATAATAACAAATAAAGTTGAATTTCTACGTTTATGGATTCATGAAGCACATCGAGTTTATTCTGATCGATTTATGACAAATAATGATCATGAATTATTTATTAAAATTTTAAGTGAAAAATTAGCTTTCTATTTTGATCAAGTTTATCATAATGTATGTCATAATCGAGAAGCTCCAATCTATTCTGATATAATCAGAAAAGATGGTGTTTATGAGGTTGTACAAGAATTTTTTAATTGATGTTTTTTGACGCTTTTTTGTTTTCTTTTAGGAAATTCGCGGCTATGATAAATTAAAATTATTTCTTGAACAAACTCTTCAACGATACAATAACACTCCATTGATGTTCTCTATGGATTTAGTTATGTTTCGTGATGCTATACTTAATATATGTCGTATTATACGTGTATTACGACGACCACGTGGCAATTTACTATTATTAGGTATTGGAGGTAGTGGTCGTCAATCATTAGTACGTTTAGCAGCATTTATTTGTGATATTGTTATATTTCAAATTGAAATCGGTCGACGTTATGGTTATGGAGAATTTAAGGAAGGTATTAAAATTTTCTTTCTTCTCTTTTGTCTAGTCAAAGAACAAAAAATTGATGTTAATTAACATAAGCAATAGAAACTCTATATTTTGAACTGCATTAAACAGATAATCAAAAATGATTCATGTAATGTGGCATTGCTCAATAGCGATGAGCACGAGACTCTTTGATTGTCGGTTGGAGAATAAGATATATTTTATGAAAAGAGAAACTAAAGGAATATGCAACAAGTACATTTTGTAGAGAAATCTTTTTGTCATCCAAAGGAAGACTATCACAGATTCTCTTTTAGATAACGATAGATATATTTTTCACACCTTTAGATTTGCGCCGTTTAATGAAATTATGTTCTATATCAAATCGTGAAGCTGTTTTTCTATTTATTGATACACAAATTATTGATACATTCTTTCTTGAAGATATTAATGCATTATTACATACTGGTGAAGTACCAAATTTATTTCGTAATGAAGATATTCAAGAGGTTTGACTGCTTTATATATTACTCTGGTTATCAAATACATACATAGTGTTTCATAAGTTTTAAGACTCGATAAAATACAAACAGAAACTAATCCCTAACAAAATATGTCTCGATAAACTTTGAGTACTGATGTCGGTCTTTCAAATAGCATACTATTGAGTGATATCTTCTTTTGTGATAATAAAAATATAAACATCCCATATTGTACGTTTGCTTCCGCTACTACTGGCATACCGAGGTAGAATATTGGCCAGGAAATAGCTGATCGTTTAAGTAATTCTCTCCCCCTCCCCCCTCCCCCATTGTGTCCAGAAGTGCTCTTCTCAAAAATAGAACCAGCATGGTTCGGAAAGATCAGTGAATATTTTCAACAAATTTCTCTGATCTAAATTACAACTCAACTTGTCGACTTTAAATTATCACAAGAGAAGATATCATATTTACATATAAACAAATTTTATTGAACGTCAGCACTTATCAGATACTCTTGTATCATAAATAGATTCGCAATCAATTATCTTCTACAATCAATCAACACGGTATACTCGAGACAAATCTCAATATTATGCAATTTTTTTACAATCGAGTCAAATCTAACTTACACATAACTATTTGTATGAGTCCATTTGGTGAAACATTTAGGTAAGTTAAAACGATTTTTTAAATAGTGAATAATTTATTAAATAATATATTCTAGAAATTATATTCGAATGTATCCAGCATTAGTTAATTGTACAACAGTTATTAATTTTTCTGAATGGCCACACGAAGCTTTGATTGATGTAGCTCATTATTTTTTGGCGAAATTTAATTTTGAATTAGAACATAAAGAAATAGTAATGATCTTTTTCAATTTTATCAAATTTTAGGTTATGTTTTTTTGGTTTTAGATTCATCGTACATTAGCTAATCTGTGTGCTTTTATTCATCTTTCATCAAAAACTTTAGCAATTCGAATGAAAGATGAACTTCGTCGAGAAATTTATATTACACCAACAAATTATCTTCAATTTGTTAGAAATTATAGCCGGTATCGATTGAATCATCGTTCTTTCCTCCAGCAAAAACAAGTCTTTTTTTTTCAAGTTTGTTCGAAGGAGAAAAAGCAAAGATTCAACATGAATATAATCGTCTTCAAATGGGTATTATTAAAGTAGCTGAAACTCGAGAAAAAGTAGCTGAAATATCATTAGAATTAGAAAAGAAAAAAGTTCTTGTGGCACAATTACAACGAGAATGTGAAGATTTTTTAGGAAAAATTGTTGAACAAAAAAATAGTGCTAGTGAACGAGAACGAGTAAGTCATTATCATTGGTTGTCTTTGTATATTTAACGAATAGATTAAAAAAATTCAATAGCAAGTACAAGCATTTGGTGTACGTATTGGTGAAGAAGAAATTCGATGTCAAACTATAGCAGCAGCTGCACATGAAGAATTAACTGAAGTTGAACCATTATTAATTAAAGCAAATGAAGCATTAGAACAATTAACAAAACGAGATATTGGCGAAGTAAAAGCATATGTACATCCACCAAGTCAAGTAGAAAAAGTGATGAAAGCATTGATGATTTTAAGTATGTTGAATTTGTCGGAAAGCGTGATTAGGCTATTCGAACAATCTTTTAAAAAATAATTGTAAATATTTGTCGTGTAAGATAAGAAATGAATGATTTCATTGATTTAGATTCTCATTTCCTTTTATTGATAAAAGAAAGATCAATTGTGTTCTGACTTGAATTTTTTCTATTTATTTAATATTATCCATTGTAATGGTCGGTCCACTTTTCAATAGCAGATATAACTCGTTTTTCAGTCACCGTATCTTTATCATATCAGCTGTTTAACTTATTTGCTAGAACTTTTTTTGCAGAAAACAATGTACACCTAATGCTGAGAATTAAAGATAAAGATTTTATCGTTGGCAGATCCGTTGAAGTACATCATTAGTCAATATAGATTCCTTTTGAAATGAAACACATTTCACAATATAACTAAATTCTTACGTTTTAGAGGGCAAAGAAGATACATGGGAAGAAGCAAAAAAAGATTTGGCTAATGTGGATTTTATCAAAACACTCATTGTTAGTTACAAATTTAAGTTTTATTTAATAAGATTTGTTTTTTTCTAGAAATTTCCGAAAGATGATATAACAGATCGAACACTTCGTCGTATGCAACCATTTATTAGTGATATGGAATTAGTACCAGAAAAATTAAAAACTGTATCAAGTGCTGCTAGTGCATTATGTACTTGGATACGTGCTATTGAATCTTATGCACGTGTTTACCGTATTGTACAACCAAAAAAAGAACGTTATCATAAAGCATTATTTGAATTAAATGAAAAACAAAATTTATTAGAACAATCAAAAAATGAATTATTAAATATTCAAAACAAAATCGAAAAATTACGTTTAGATTATGAATTAAAAATCAAAGAAAAAGATACTTTGCAACGAAATGCTGATGAAACAGCTATGTTTTTAGATCGAGCAACAAAATTATTAGATGGTGTTGCTGAAAAACGAACTATATGGGACATGACATCAAATAAATTGAAAGAAAATCTTGATAATCTTCTAGGAAATAGTCTTCTTGCTTGTGCATTTCTATCCTATATGGGTCCATTTTTGTCTAATTATCGAGATGAAATTATACATCAAGTAAATTTTGAGTTTCATATATTTTTTTTTTACAAAATTCTCTGTAATAGATTTGGGAAAAAGAATTAATGCGTAATGGGATTCATTTTAAAACTGATTTTAATTTCGCAAATTTTATGACAACACCAAGTGTTATTCGTGAATGGAATATTCAAGGTTTACCACATGATAATTTCTCAACAGAAAATGCTATTTTAGCAACACGTACTTTATCGTATCCATTATGTAAGTTTTTTATTAATTGAATAAATTTTCGACTGACGAAAAATAAAGATTTCAAAAAAAAAATGTTTTACTTGTAAAAGATGATAGTAGATCAGTCTATTAGTAATTTAATGTGACAAAGGCAGAAACTTACAATGCAGCAAGATATGTACAAATTCTAGTTTAATTAAAATTTTTGTTTCATTTCAGTGAACTAGAAAGACTTTACAAGAATACAAAGTTGTAATAACACCTAGATCTACAAAAACCTCTTTTCTGAAAGCTATTCAAAAAAGTTCACATTTCTGAAAATTTTCTCGATCTGAACAAAATATTTTTATTTGTGTTTGTAACTAAGACAAAAGATCTTATGATAATGAAATTTATTTTTTAGAAGTTTGCTTCTTGGTAAGAATTATCACTAATAATACTACGCCAATGTATCAACAATCCTTTTTGGGTTCACTAAAAAAGTGTCTTTTTTTTATTGCTTTGACAACAAAAGATGGTGATCCATTATTGTCAAATTGTAGCTCAACATTCGATGATAATTTGTTATCCCATTATTTCAACACTCTTTTGAGTTCGTGTATCACAAAAATTTCGAATGAATAAGTTCGATTTATTTTGTTCGAGATATCCTCTGCTCAATTTTTACAAAATATGGTCCTTTTTCCAACTGCATGTTGGCGAAGTGCTGCTGAATTCAAGAAGATGATTTAAAGGGAAAAGATTTATTGATGATTTTTTTCTAAAAGTTCAAACTTAAAGCTCATATATATTCATCTATAGAGTCAGTGCTTTATCCAATATGATAAATGAGGGTGTAGTCTCCCCTCAAAGCTATTTGTCGTACTTTCATGTAACACTTTTGTCTTACATTATTTTCATAGTTTGTTAAGACAGATTTATAATCTCGATAACTCTCATATTTTACTACTTGAAATATGAACAAGCATATCTTCAAAATTATTCTGAAATCCATTTTTTATAAACACTTAGTATAGTTCTTTGTTTTTTTTAGTTATCGATCCTCAAAGTCAAGCAACTAAATGGATAAGACAGATGGAAAAATCCAATGGTTTGAAAATAATTGATTTACAAATCGGTGATTATATGAAAATAATTGAAGAATGTATTAAACTAGGTCGACCATGTTTGTGTCAAAATATACATGACGATATACCACAAACATTAAATCCAATATTAATAAAATCAATAAAAAAACATTCTGATACAAATTCTAATTTAATTCTTCAATTAGGCGATCGAGAAATTGATTATAATCCATCATTTCGTTTTTATTTATCTACACGTCTTTCTAATCCACGATATAAACCAGAAATATATTCAAAAGTAAATATAATCAATTTTGCTATTAAAGAACAAGGTTTAGAAGAACAATTACTTGGTAAAGAAAGTTTTTTAATAAGGTATTATATTTTTAAACGTTCTTTTATTGAAAAGGTATTGTTGTACGAAAAGAAAAACCTGATTTAGAAAATTCAAAAGATAATTGTATTGTTAATATTGCAAATAAACATAAAGAAAAAGAAATTTTAGAAGAAGAATTTCTACGGCTTTTATCTGAAACAGAAGGAAGTTTATTAGAAAATGTAAAAGTATTTCAAGCATTAGATTTATCTAAACAATCACAAAAAGATATTGATGAAACATTAAAAATTAATGAAGATTTAGAAATCAAAATTGATTTAATGAGAGAAAATTATCGATTAGTTGCACAACGAGCAGCTGTTCTCTTTTTTGTTTTACAAGATTTAACCTCAATTGATCCAATGTATCAATATTCACTTGATGCATATATTCAATTATTTATTTTATCAATTGAAAAAAGTCCAAGATCATTAAAATTAAATGAACGTATTGAAAAATTAAATGATTATCATACTTATGCCGTATATAAATATGGATGTCGAGTGAGTAAATGAAAAACAAAACGAAAATTTTCTTCTATTTGTTTGTTTAAAAATTTTATTAGGGTCTTTTTGAACGTCATAAACTTCTATTTTCATTTCATATATGTACTAAACTTATGGATGCTGAAAATCGAATAATTCATGAAGAATATCAATTTTTTATACGTGCTAATACATTAACAATTGATCGTGAAACTCAATTTTCTAATCCCTTTCCAACATGGTTAAATGAAACACGATGGGATCAAATGAGTGAACTAATTCGTTTGCCTGATTATCGGTTTTTACGTGATTCATTTGATCAATTTCCTAAAGATTGGAAAGAATGGTATGCAACTATCTTAATTCGTACTCAAAAAACAGCGATGTATGAGACCTTATTTCAGCTAACGACGAGTTTTATTACTAATTAAATGATATTGTACATAAGATGAAACTACTAGTATACGCCGATAAGTTAATGCTAAATATAATCATACAACATTGAATTCAGTTAATTGAGAGTAATCCATAAATAGGAACTTTTGGTCGCTGATCATGTTAGTAATGTGTCGATCTTTTTAGGAACGTAAACAAAATGTAAATTATAGTTAAATTCTAGTATTCTGTGAGTTCAGCCATCATTGATTGATGCTTCATTGTTTTACAAGATTCATTTATTTAAATGTATTCTTATACCTATCACAACAGCATACACAGATGCAACACTTACTAATACTGCTCTATCTCTCGAGATATCTTTCTTCTTGAATGGCATTGATCATTTTTCTAGAACAGCTTATGTAGTAAACATTTTCAAAATTTGCAAAACCTTATATTTCCTAAACTCGAAAATCAAGGTCAAAGGCGTACGACAGAAAACAGCAGGAACCAATGGTTTTCTGACGAATTCCTGAAGCACAATGCCGAGGTCGGTTTCGAATGCTTATTTCGACTCAACTTATATCAATTTCTGTGCCAGAAATGAACCACTGGATAAAGTTGCCTTGTCTGCTACGATTCTTGTGTTTGCCACATAATGGCACAAGACGCTTCGTATCTCATCGTTTCTGGTCGGATTACGGAACTCAGATCTAACAGTTTCCTATTCTACTGAAGAACTGAGGGCTGCGCAAATACAAATACACATTGTACTCCGAAAAAATATCTACCTCACTTCTCAGAAAAAGAACCGTAACACTATCACTCACCACTGTGTACTCGGTCAAAAAACCTAGAACTACTAGACATATACTCCCATGAATTGTCATGTACTACCACGTACTGCCGGAAAATCGTAGTACATGGCAATAAATGGGAGTACATGCCAAATAATTCTAGGTTTTTTCAGGGAGAACGTGGCGATACATGGAAATACATGCCAAGTAGTTCTAAAGTTTTTGGAGAAGTACATGGTAGTACATGGCAATACATGAGAGTACATGCCTGGTCGGATATGCGTTTTTAGGAGTACAATTTATATTTGTATTTGCGTATCTCTGGACTTTCGATGGTCAGTTTTAACTAGTTAAAGTACGTATTTTCCAATCAGATTATTAGTAATGTTATTTTTCATTTTAAAAAATGTATTTGAATAAGAAAAACAAAATATATGTCAAAACATAA